TCAATTTACTGTCAACAACACAAATGAAGCTATAATGGTAAATCGTCTGCTGAATTTATGTTTAAAAATATCAAACTTTCGATTAAAATCGTCTGCGGTCGCCTAGCAACACTTACTGTTGCCAAGGCCAGAAATATAAATAGCAAACCTCGTAGAATTCTGTAAACTCTTCATGTTTTGGCGAACTATTGTGGTGTCTGTTCTGGGACTCGATCCTCAGTTCTGTCTATCATGAGATTGACAGATTAGCCTTCTCGGCTATATTATGTTGGAAGTAGCAACGAACTAAGTGGCTTCATTTGGTGGATCTAGTTATGCGATAAAATTCTGGTTTTTCAACTGTATTAGGTGAAAGTAACAGTTTTTCTCTCAATAAACAGTTTGATTACCATCTTATTTATAGTTATTTGACTGTTTTGTTTGAATATGCTAAAATAACAATTGAATAAATTGTTTTTTTTTTCTAGAAATTTCAAACAATTTTTTCGAGAAATTTCAAGCAGTGTAAAGAAAAATAATTTAAGGAAAGACTTTAAAAAAGTTATTTTTTTAAGTATAGATAGAAAGAAAAATCTTTTAAAATAATCGCAAACCTGTTTTTTTAATGAAAATGGAAAAATACTAACAATTAGTTTACTACTACTTTAGTTTACACTACTTAAAGTTTTTTTTTGTATATATCATCTACATATTAAATATGTCAACGTCAAGACCTATTAACTACAAAGTATGAAAATGAAAACCATGGATTATGAAACTTTATTTTATATTTCATTTAAAAAATTTCATATAATAATGTTTTGCATTTAACTTCCAATAGGACTCTTCAGGAAACAATACTTTAAATATTATATTAACACTTCTAATCAACGGAAAGACAATCATTCTATTTCCTCTATTATGCGTAATAAAGAATTTAATTAAAGTCTGCAAAGCAAACTTTTAACAAGAAATAATTGGAGGTAATTGATGCCTCTTCGTTTTCACTAAATTGAAATTAAGAGGTTGAAATATTTAAAAATATTTTTTAATAATATTTAAACAATATAATAAATTCCACTTGTTATAGTAACTACGTTACTATATTATCTTGGTGAAAAGTTCTATCTATGCTTATACTTTTTTAATCAAATTCAATACGATTTGTTGAACTTTTTTATTTGAAAAAAAGAACAAATGATATTTCTTTTCATTTACTAAAACTTTTTCTTAAAGGCTGAGTATATTACTTCATTATTATTACCGCAACAATTATTTTAAGAGCTTAAAAATAAATTAGTTTAGCAATTATTTTCGCAGATTTAAAAATTTAGGAACAGTTTAATTTGTAGGGCGTATAAAAGGAAAGTCCATTGAAAATGTTAACTGGAATGGTACTTAAATCTTTAAAAATGAATATTCAAATTCATTAGGAACAAGTAAGCAAGCAACAACAATCCGTTAACAGATCATCCCCTTCATTATCATTATGAGTTCAGACACAAGAAGGAATAATTAATCACGGATTATAATAGAACTATATGTAACTGACAAAATAATACATTCGTTTCCTATCAGTTCAATTTTCAAATTCAGGTCATAGATAGCGGGGCATAAAATTCCTTTTCACGCTGATGAAGAAAAAAAGTGAAAGTTATTTCAACGACGCATTTTTTTCACCAAACTAATTTCCAAAATGTTGATTATTTATTCATGTGCGCTAAAACAATTTAAAATTACAAACCATTTTATTTCACACTTTTAAAATCATGAAACCTCTTTTTCAAAGTGGTATTAAAATATAATGTATATAAGTATATAAGTTTAAAGTTAATAGTTTTTAAATCACGTATAAAAAAAACAAATTGCTAAAACACAGATATGTCTAACATTTCTGAAGGTTAAAAATTAATAGAATTATAAAAGCCTTAACTACTAAACAAACGCTTGATAAGAACTGCCCTTAATGCAACTTAAAGAAATATTTGATATTAATTTATATTGAATTAATATGGGAATATTCTTATAATTACTAAATAAGTTCTTTAATAACAGTTAATTTAACTAAATAATAAAGCAAATAACTACTTTCCTCGTAACATAGAATAAAATTAGTCGTGATTTGAAAGCGGAAATTAAAAGTTGAATTGTAGACCAAACGCTTCATACTGACATTGGCCGACATTATCAAACAAACACTTGATACTTACTCCATTAATAAAACTTAAATAATAAATTGTCCTTACAAATTTAGTTTATGTTACATTTCTGGTAAAAAAATAATTAGTGTAAGCTTTTGTGGCATTTAAATCGCTTCTAAAAAAAATTTGCATTCAACCCAAACAATTAAGAAAATAAAAATTCAGAAACTTTGTTAATATTATGTTGAATCAGCATAGATTATTAAACTATACCTTCTTATTGAAAAGGTAAGACAAGAAAGTTTCTTATTTTAATATTAAAGCCAATAAAGAGAATTTATCCTTAACAAGTTGTATGAAAATAAGAACATTACAGAGAAGGAAGAAAAAAAAGAAACTTTATTTCAATTCTTTCATACTATTGAATAAATTATAACAAATGATTATGCACATCAAAAAAGTAAGACTAAATCTAATTTTATATTCAAATGGATAAGTTGATTAAACGATTCTTAAATAAGCGCTATTTAAATTAGTGAGTTCTATCAGCTGATTGACCGAGCATTTCTAGGATGAAAAAACTTGTCGCCAAACATTCCGCCCGATGAAGTCAGTGGGCCATTTGCCAAGTCGAAACGTCAGTTTGCCCACCACTAATGACCTACAGCAGGATCAAATATTTCTTACTATGCAAAGCAGAAAAAACCCACCACCGAAGATCTCTTTTCTAGATGCGATATTAAGTGGGAGATATTTGAATCGAGGGCACTTGGCGAGAATTATGTATGTTCCGTTATGGAATGAACAAGTTTTTCTTAGCAAATGAAATAGAAACGAAAATCGTTTGCATAAAACGAAAACTTTAAAGAAAAAGGGCTTTAGAACTTTATATTTGAGAGGATATTTAAGATTTCATTACATCTTATCATTAAAAATGCACCTGAATGGTTTTAATATTAGTTCATTATTAAATAAAATCTGAAAATGTCATACTTTTTAACAGAAGCATTAATGAAATTTTTAAAAATGCTGTGTTGAAATAAGTCAAAAGTAAAAGTTATTCCCAAATTCAATTAGAAAGTTAAGTTACTTTTTGCTAATAACTTTTTTATATTTGGAACCAACATTATACGAGTTATATACTACAAAACTGAGGACGTTATCTTGCATTTAACAATTACAATTTTAACAATTAGTCAATTTTGAAATATCAATGTTTGAAAAAGATATAAGCTTGAAAATAATATTATTTTAATCATATATGTTTTTGAATTTAAATTTGGAACAATTAAAAAGAAGAAATATTTTATTGATATATATTACGTTTCGCAATGTTACAACAGTACTGAACAGCTATAGAGTAGGATTGGTTTAAACCTTCCCCAGTTTGGTGCATTGGTAATGATAGTTACCAATGCATTGAAATTGTAGAGCCTCTGGCCAACAGCTGACTGAGGGCTTTTACTCATATTGCATATTATCTTAAAAGAACTGAACCTAATAATTTATAAAGTGCAAAAATTGTAACTGACTCTTAACTTGCAAAATCAAAAATATATAAACATTGATTTTTCCCAAATATAAGTTACAGAGTACTTGTTATCCCAGTGTATTAAAACTTTAGTAAATAATTATAGTCACAGTTTAGTGTAGTAATATATTTTTCATTAGTTTAAACAAAATACATTAATTTTATCATTCAGTTTTTTACAGAAATACATTTTCAAAAAAAATAAAAACGCAAATGCTTGTTTTTAAAACTGTAGCCAAACTAAGTTAGCATTTCAGCACGTCACTTTCTGAATTATATTGAAATAAATTGAATTATTAGTGATTAATTTTTAAATGTAAAGAAATAATAATAATATAAAATTACATTAACACAAATCTATTGCATTTCGAAAAATGTGAATTTCATAACTAGAGCTTAGAAATTAAGAAGAAATAATAAATGAATGTTTTCTCAGCATTGAATAAAAAATTTCATTTTCTTAATGAAACTTTAGAAATTAGTTTAGATTTCTTTTAAAAGAAATGCAAACAACAAACAAAAATTACGTTTAAACTTCATTTCAAAATTATGTCATAAAATTAATAAAATTAAATAAATCTTTAATTTATGCATGCGCTTAGAATAATTATTTTTTATTCATTTATTAGTATGCATTAAATTGTTCCTTTTTTTAAAATAATTATTATATGTTTTTTTGCACCAGAACTACAGAATGAAAAGTATTCAAAAATATATGACAATTATTTTTTATTCATTTATCTATTTACAATATCCTAGCAAAAAGCATATAAACTTGCACAGCATATAAACTCTTATTATTTTTTAAACAAATAAAATAATATTATTGCATTTTTCAACAAACTTATGTAATTGCTATTTTTTGTATTGTAAAATATTTTGTCTCAATAACAATGATAACTGAGATACTATCAATTTTTTAAGGTTATAAAGAAGTAAAAATAGTATTAAAATTTAATTGCAAAAGTATGTCATGAAATTAACAAATTCAAAACAATACTTGATTTTTTCTTAAAAAAATTACCAAATTTTCAAATAATAAAATTCTCAAATTGAATTTCTTTTGCAAAGTTATAAAATATTACTAATTTTTGTTTTTCAAAGAATGTTGACTGATATTCATGCCAGTAGTTTTTAAAATTTGTTTTCAATATTGTAGCAAAATTGCTTATATTTCTAATGATACAATTATGAAAGTTATTATCTTATTTTTCAAAATAAATTAATAAATAAAACAAAACAAAAAACTTAATCTTAAAACTACGCATATAAGTTAACAAATTGAAGAAAAAAAATATTTACAAATTTAATCGTATTTAAAAAAAAAAAACTTGAAAAATTTGCCTTACCTTGTGATGTAACAGTGTGAGCAAAAGCGATCAACAGGGCTTGAAACCAATAAGCCATGTTCACTGTCGAACAAAATGAAGGCGAATGAGACTGCTCACAAACTGACCTCACCACGCGGATTCCCTCTTGCCAACAACGCATGCGCATTACATTCTCTTCACATTTCCTACTATTTATGAAAGACCACATCTCGAGGCTTTATCATATTTTCATTCGTCGAGAAAAGATCATCAGTAAAGAGTTGAAATAAAATATTCAAAAGAAAACACCAAAAAGTTTAACAAAATTGTTTGTTAAAAGCAAGCGCTTTTATTGGTCGTATGACATAATATTTCTTAAAAGTTATTTTCTTTAATGAGCATAAACTGAAATACATTTTTTTAGTAGTATGATTTTATGCAATGAAAAAAATTAAAAAAAATGAACTGTAATATTAATAAAAGCTATTTAATTATTATAATGTATTACTGATTATGATTAAATCATTAACTTTAAGCAATAACGTCTAAGTTATAATAAACTAATTTTTAAAATAAATTCACAAATTTAAAAAAAAGGCTAAACATATTCATCTTTTTGAGAATTATTTTATATAAAAAACATTATTTTTAATTGTATTTTCGTTCCAAAAAATTAAAAAATGAACAAAAATATTTATTGCTTAATAACAAATGAGAAAATATTTAAATTTAAATAAATAACGTCAAGCGTACTTTTTGAAAGGCAATGGTAAAAATGCAGTTTGGTAAGAGGCATTTTATGGGTCAAATTTTATCTAACTTATTTTTAGGTACCCATTTTTTTAAAGTTTTGCAAATAATTACACATATAAGCGTGTTCAATTCATAATGTAGTCCCTTATCTAATGTAGTACCCATTTCTTTAAAAATTTTCTAATAATAACACATATAAGCGGGTTCAATTCATATTGTAGTCCCTTTTCCAATGTAGTACCCATTTCTTTAAACTTTTACTAATAAAAACACATATAAGCGTGTTCAATTCATAATGTAGTCTCTTTTCCTGCTTTCTCCTACGTTGCTTCTTGCAATTTTTATAAAGGAAAGGGTTAAATTAATTATTTATTTAATAAATCGTTTAGAAAATACAATTTTAAGAAAAGTTGCAACTTCACATAGCTTCATATTTTAATTATTGCTTTTATTCGCATTACACTTTTAGCAATTTTAGGACGGGTTAAGTTAATTTTTTATACTAAAAAGCAATAAAATTTCCAGATGACGTTTAATATTTATGTGTACACATAATTGTAAAACTGTTACTTGCGTATCCATGAGCAAAGAGCTAATTCAATTTCTAAACACATTAAATATATGAACAAAGCTGTTATTAACGGAATTTATGAGTGGATTTTTAACACTTATACTTAACTATTAACAAATCGATCAGAAAAGGTTACAAGAATAATTAAAAAAGTACTGACAGTGTGCAGAAAATATAAAATGAATTGAAGTGATGTAATAGCCTATCACAAAACCTATTCACAGATATATAGAAACGCCTTGTTCACTCTAGTTTTATAGAAATCACGTCTTTGTAGATTGTAGATTGTAGGTCCTTAAAACCTCTGAAGACTTTAAAAAATGTCAAAACTGAAAATGTCCATTATTGTGGGGTATTTATATATATATATATATATATATATATCCAGTCTTAAAATATTGTCTGAATTGTGCGAATAGACATGTTGTATTAAATACCAGTAAATTTATTCAATACTCCATTCACACTACAAAAAGCAAAGATTGGATATAAAAAAATTATAAATAATATAATAATCAGAAACTACAATTAATCTATCAGTTACTAAATTTCATTAGATTTATAATGAATTTCGCTGATGCATATATATTTACAGTGGTAATATTGCATAAAGAGTACAAGTGGAATCTAAAAATCTAAAGAACTAAAAATTATTTTTAAAAAAATCTTATTAAAGTATATTTATTAATTGTTAAAGTATATTTATTAATAATTATATTTATTAATTGTTATACTATGCAATAATTTATTTCTAGCAAAATATTACATATTTAAATAAATAAGGTATGGAATAAATTTAATTAGCCTTTCTGCATCTAAAGAGGGATAGAAAATGTCACGTAGAAAGTATTATAAAGGAGATAATTTAGTATGTATTTCATTCCCTTGATTTCATCACTTGACTTGATTTTCCCGCTTTCATCACTTGATTTGATTAAGTAAGTAAAGCTTCTTACTTTTCTTCTTTCTTGATGCGCGTCAATTTAAATGCTGTAAATGATTATGTTCTGACGGCAAGACAGAATTCCTGTCTGCTTTACGTTTAAAACAAGAGTAAATTAGTTCTGATGATAAATAAGTGCAAAAAATAGTAATTGCAAAAAAACTTGGATTGTATAATTTGTTTTAATTATGTCATACACCCATTTATTTTTGCTCTTTTTTTCCTCAAATTTAATGAAATTATGGAAAGAAAAGAAATAGAAAATTTTAGTCATAGGCTTGTGAGATAATTATTTGTCACGAATATGCGGTGTAAGTAGTTGATAAGTAATTTATTTAAGTTTTAATGGTCATTAAAAAGGAGAGCCTTTTTTAAATATTCTATTAAAACTAATGCTTTGAGTTACTTTTTACTGAAGATATGAAAAACTTATTGATACATTATTTCATCAAATGTTAACAATTTTTATAATTCAAATTATGCAGTTATCGAATTGCAAAACTAAGAATCTTGTGTTACATAAAAAATGCTACAAAGAGACAAGTAAGAACTTATGCATATCACCACAACAAACCATTTGATGCAGATGAGACCCTGTTATATATTTCTTTTTTTCACGCTCTAAGTAAAAATTGGTACTTTTTAATAATAAATAACAGACTAACCTTACGAAAAATATCTCTTACATTATATTTGTACTAAAAAATAAAATGAAAAAAAAGTATTTTAAATTTTTTTTTATTCCAATGTTTATCAATAATTTATTTTGCAAATTAAAGAAATTAGAGCCACTACAACGACTTATAAATTCTCAAAAAATGTAGTTAACACCCTTTTCCTTTTTAAAATTTCCTCAAAATACTTTGAGCATTTCAGGTATTACAAAAATTTTCCCAACCGCCGAGACAAATTACTTTGACTTTAGAATCGCTTGCAATTTCTGATTACGGAAACATTCAAAATTTTCTAAAGTTTCTAGAAAGGTTTCAAAAATTTATAATCATTTTCATCAACAGGTAGTTAGTATTGTGCTGTGTACCAAAATATATTCCTAATTACTTCATCAAGATTTATTATAATGCTACAATAAATATATTTAACATGTATAAAATCTTATATATAAATGCAAAAAAAAAGAAAAAAAAACTTAAAGCTAAATATATACTAATAAACTGTAAAAGCTTAAAATAAATAAAATTTATACTAACCTCGACAAACCACCTTTGTCCTCTTTTTAGCCATCACTAAAGCTTGGTAAAAGTCAAAAAATAGTAAAATATCGATATTTTTAATATCGTAGTATTAGTATTGTAAAATACACTTTCACGATTCATTGTGAGCGTATGTTTTACGATAAATATCAAATATTAGATGATTAACAATTCTTTAAAAATTATCGAATGCGATAAATATCTACTTATACGGTAATGTCATGAATATTAACGTCAGTTAATGACCATGAAAATATCGTTATCATTATCATTTATTATAAATATCGAATTCGAGCCGTAATGGCTCATGGGTAGAGGGTTCGCTTTCCAATGAGGTGATCCCAGATATGACTGGTCGATACGAATTCCGCATCCGACTTGCACCGACCACAGTGCTGATATGAAATATTCTCAGTGGTAGGCGGAACATGGGTTAAAGTCCCCTTACCGTCAAGATAACAGTGGCAGGTTTTCGCTGTCTCCCTCTCCATGTAACGCAAATGCAGGTTAGTTCTCTCAGAAAGTCCACCATGAAGAAAAAATGTCTTCCAATACTTAATCAAGAATTCTCCTTGTCTTTTGGATTGGGTTCGAAATCACAAGGCTACGGAGTTGAACATTAGTAGTCGTAAACCCAAAAAATTGAGACGGCGGTTCTCAACGTTGGTTATAAAATAAAATAAAAATATCGAATTCAATTTGGTAGAATTTCATTATGGTGAATAGGGATATTAAAATTCAAAAATTGTCTTAAACAAGTTAACATTTTTACTGGCAAAATATATGCAGTTTCATATAAGCAGATTGCTTAAATTTCTTCAGAAATACGCTAATGTTAATTATAAAAGTGTAATTTTAATTTCGTTCCTACAATGATGATGGTAGCTTTTAAATGATCTTTCGATGCATCGTGAATACCATGCTTTAAGATTTACGATAAATATTTAGTATGCGATAATATTTCAAATATAAACAATTATTTATGAATGTACGATAATGTCGCAATGAGTTATGATAATTTTTGAATAAAGTAGTATTGTGAACAGTATCATTAACAATAAATATCGATAACAATAATTATCGAACATGTTATTGTCGTGACTGTTGACAAATATCATTTGAATAAAAAAATATTGATCAATGTAAAATAAAAAAAACGAAGTTTAGAAAAGCTTGAAGAATATCGCTAGATAGTGACGATGTATCCGGTATTGAAATTCCAAAACCATCCAGCTCTAATCATTTCTTACATCAGAAAGCTTACTTGTAGCTTTTATATTTAATATCTTTTTCATATTTTTAATATTTTTTATAATTTCAAATTTTCTATATTTTTAATGCTATAGACAATAACAGGCTTTGGAGAAATCAGGATTTTTTGCATTTGACTTATTTATTTCTCGAGGTGCCCAGAATCAAACTTATGAAAACAATAATCAAATATTAAAGTTGCTAGAACGGAAAATCTCTGGCATAAAGCTGGAGAAACTTTTGGATTCTTCTCTAAAACTATTAAAAAGGAATAAAAAGCCTCTCTATAAACTATTCCTATGATGGTTGACTATTCAGATACTAGTAAAAATTTCAAACTAACTTTGCAAAATCATTTAGTCGAAAGAAATAGAAATTTTTATGCGTCTCTGAAACA